CCCGCCGGCACCGCGCCGCGTCCCCGGCCCGGCGCCGCCGCCAGGGGGAGGCAGAGGCCGCGCGGTGCGGGGTCATCGCTGCGATCTGAGGGGTGCCGGGTCGGGCTGCGGCCGTGCGGAGGTTGGGGCTGGGGGCTCCTCCAGAAGGTAGCACCGCTGGGGGGTTTAGGTCGGCGGGACGGGATCCTGTTCCTCCGCGAGTTCGGGGCTTGAGCAGACCGCAGAAGTATGGCCAGAGCCCTCTGTGAGACCCCAGGAAAGCATCTGCTGGGGGAAGGGTGCTTGGGGAAACTGCTTGGTGGGGGACAGCTGGCAAAACCACGTTGTGTCAGGTTAAAGTGTGGGTCTGCGGGAGAACTGGCTCTGTGACACAAAAGTGGCCCAGACTGTGACTCATAATAGCCCAGTGGTATTTTAAACACCGTATTGCTGACTCAGAGCTCTGGGAAGAACAACAAGGGCTGTCACTGCATGGCAATGCCAGCCTTTGCAGCATGGCAGTTTCAGGGTCTGCCATATGGTGATGTCTGCTTCTGCTGTATGGTGATGTTGACCTCTGCTTTATGGCAATGCCAACCTCTGCCAGAACAGTGCCAACAATGCTCCCACCCACTGCTCATCTGCCTCACGCCAACCCCAACGGCATTTGGGAACGGAGTGAGGAGGGCAGAGGAATGCACACAGGGCTGACACAGTCCTTCATCCCCCGCTCCCGGCTGCGGTGCATTCCAGGCAGCCCTCCTACAACACCACACTTTCTTCACCACAGTCCATCCCTGCACATGCTCACTTATCCTCTGCCAGGCCTCTCCCAAGGCACCTGGAGCAGCACCTGCCATAAATCAGGCAGAGCTCCCGCCAGGACACGCACACCTCGCTCTGCCATGCTGAAAAATGAGCACACAGCTTCTCATCTCAGCACCTGCAGCAGCAGGAGCCTGCTCCCATGGCGGTTCCTTGAGCTCAGGGTGTCCCAGCGCAGCCCAAGCGAGCTCAGACCCATTGGGCTGTGTGCATTTGGTGGTGCTGAACGTGGCCGCCTGCTTTGGCTTTGCATGCTGCTGAGATTGTCTCTGCTGGGTTTATTTTCACACAGCTCTTCAGAACGCAGAAAGTGAGAGCTCAAAGCAAACAGGAAAAAGGCAGGTTCTCTGGGCGGCTATTTTTAACCACTGCAAACAGCATCAGTGTCATTATATTTAGAAAAAAAATGCAGAGCGTTTCCTGCCTCCCCTCTCAATACCTTCAGCTATTTCCTTGCAGATGTTGCCAGGAGCAGCACGCAGACGGGCCGTGCTCCGGGATGGGAGGGCTGTAGCTGGGGAATGCGGCTCAGAGCAGGTGCCCCTGGCTCTTGAGGATGAGCGGGCAGTGAGGGCTTGGCCACGTCCAAGTGCCACCTCAAAGGTGCCCCAAGGGTGAGCACGATGACAACGCAGCATCACTGTCACCTCCTCCTGCCACGGGATGGGGACTGCAGGTGACACCAGGAGGTCTCAGCTCTGGGTGGGCGCAGGCAGGTGGCTCAGGACCTGCACTTGCCGCTCAGAGAGCTTCCCCTTGGCTTTGGCTGTGCTGGGCTCCTCGCCTTGCGCTCAAGGGCTGCGGTCGGTGAAGCGTTTGTGTTTCATTCCCAGCATTTGTGTTTCACTCTGGGTGGCAGCAGCGTGGCAGACCGCAGCTCAGCAGGGCCACGTGCAGCATCGCTGGGAAACAGGCTCTCCTAACCTCAACCACACTGTGCTGGTTGTGCTTTGCAGCAAAACCCCAGCACGGGGAGAACGGGATTTCTCCATGTGGATAGGGAAGCTCTGTGCCCAAGGGAGGTGACAGAGAAACTGTTGGAAATGTGGTACAGATGGCACAAACTGCAGCCAAAATCAGCTTAAACAGCCTGCAGCCAGGTGGTGGGTGATGGCAAGAGTACACAACACTGCTCTCAGTGGTATCCGTGGGAGATGTCCCACTCTGGGCTCAGCAAAAGCAGCTGTGTGCCCCTGCTGTGTTGGACTGTGCTCCTTTTTGGGCTCTGGCTCCCAACAACTGCCATCTGAGATGCTTCTGTGGGGCTCTGGTTGCTTGAAACAGAAGCAGAAGCCCTGGCCAGAAGCAGGCTGCACAGAGCTGTGGGTCTGGCTGCTGTCACCGACCCTGCATGACGCATGCAGACCCAGCGGCCAAACGCTCCCTTTCTGCACACCCCTCCCCGAAGACCCTCTCACCCAGTGCACCGTGCCCAGCTGTGCTGGGTGCCCACCCAAACCCCATCCTACAGGGGCTGCCATGGCTCTCCTGCTGTGATCAGAGCATGTGTTCCATCCAGCCCAGCTGCTGCATGTTCTTAATGAACACTGAGAACCCGTGTGGGATGACCTCCTCTCCTACCTTGCAGGAGATGCTCGCTGGGGGCTGTGGGTTTGCAGCTTCCCCATCGGGTCCCTGCCCCACAGGCAGCCTGACAGCAGCAGCCCAGAGCCAAACATCTTTTACAAATCACGGCGCATAGCTCGCATTCTCGGCTGGTTTATGAGTGTTTCATCTCCTCGTATTGATCAGGGCTGGAGCCGAAGTAATTACGTTCATCAGAAATAATTTCCCCTGATTTTGAGTCATATTTGAGCGGGTGCCCACCTCCCCCGCTCACCCCTTTCAGCACTGCAGCTCTCTGCTCCCTGGTACATACTTTCCGGGCGACATCGCTGCTTTCATAACCATGGTGAGACCTGGAGGCTTGTTTTTCTCAGCTGGATCCCACACATACACTAAAGGTTTCAGCTGTGCCGTTATGGACTTGGCTGGGGATGTGGTCAGGAGGAGCTGGTTGATGGGAAGTGCATGCCTGGGAAGTCCAGCACTGGGAAGGGAGCTGGGACCCTCTGCAGCAAGACAAGGACTGGAGAACAAAGCTGATTTCAGCCTTAAACCACAAGAAAAACAGGGATAGACAAAAAGAATGAGCAACGTGATCAGGAAACACGAGTTAGCCCCATGGAAAATACCGAGGGTCTGGACCCATGAGGTCAGGGTCTGGGTTTATGTCTTGTCTGGGAGACAAAACTTCCACTGAGATTGTAAAAGAAGCTCATGTTTGGAGATGCTTTATACCAAAAATAATCTCTCCGAGGCTCACAACACTCGATACGTGATGATTCCTGACACTATTTTCCAAATAATAATGGGAAGATTCATCTGCCTGAGGCTTCCAGGCTTCATCTTACAAAATTCTTACTCTTTGGGTTATCTGAATGTTTAACTTATGGGGACAGATGGCTCTCATCTGGGCTTCAGCAGGGAGTCACTCTGAATTGCTGCCCAGGTTTTGCGATACCCATTAAGAAGCAGCGCTGGCCCTTCACAACGCAGCTGGATGTTGTAGTGATAAGCCCCTCAAGTCTGAATTATGACATTCTCCTTGATTTTGGCTAACAGAGCCCTTTCTCAGTCGCCACAGCCCATCGACTCCCCAGTGCAACCTCAGCTCCTTCTTCTCTGCAGGCACAGGGGCTGTGAGTGGGACGGCCACCACCACAGAGCCCCACTCGTGGGGGTCCCCTGCGCTCAGCCCCGGCCCCCCATGGCAGCCCACAGGGGTCAGCGGTCCCAGCTGGAGCCGAGGGTTGCTGGTGCCGCTGCCTGACTGTCAGGAGCTGGACGGCAGCCCGGAATTCTTTTCTCACAAGTCACTTGGATGGCCACCAGATGGTAAATACTTTTCGTCTCTCCTCGCCTGGGCTTGGGGTGGATGTAGTGATCTCAAGGTAGAGGACTGCATGGATGCCCCTCGCCGTGGCTGGTGGTCCCCCAGGGGATGGAAGTGGCCACAGAGGGATGGAAACAGCCATAAGCAGCCCTTTTAACTTCAGGGCTCCTGGCTGTCCTGAGCTGTCAGTAAGGAAAGGAAGAGGCTTAAGCAAAGGGAAGGGATGGAGGGAGAGCAAGGTGTGCAGCCATTGCAGAGGGATGTGAGTACAGATGAATGGAGCAAAAAATTAGAGATTGGCGGTGCTGCTCACCATGGTGTGTTCAATGGCACAGCATGGAGAAACACGGCTGTCTAAAGAAGTCAATTTGCTGAGTGGGTGCCTTCATTTCTATAGAAACAGTAGAGCTTCCCAGGAGATGTATTTAGATCCTTGCATCAACTGACCACAAAAAAGAAACAAAAAACCTGACAGTAATGCCATGGGAACCGCAGAGCACAACTTGGGGGATGAATCCCCAGCCATGAAATGACACGTGTGGTGCAAAACACAGATGGGGTACGTGCTCCAGAGGAGAAGGGTTGTAACAGTGTCTACACGATGAGCTGCTCAAGTACTGCTCCGTGCTCCTGCAGAAGGCAGAACCTGCGTGATGTGGTGAGTCCAAATCCACACCATGTGCATCCAACCCCATGTGCTGTCCCACTGGGGGCTGCACATCACTTTCCTGCTCTTGCTGTGCCATAGGAGCCAAGGAAAGAAGAGCCCTTTCAGCACCTGTAGAGCTTGCCTGGCCATTCCTGCACGCTGTGAATCCCACACAGCAGAGGGGCAGCACTCTGCCCTCAGCTTTGGGATTCCATGCAGTGTGGGTGACATATCCCTCTCCCAAAGCCATGCCCTGGGGCAGAGTTAAATATGGGGCTGGGTTCCCAGCCCTGCTCAGGCTTGGCAATGTCCCAGGCTGGATGTCAGGGGAACATGTCAGGCCATCCCTGCCCGTTCACAGCCCAGCAGAGAGGTGCTGGCACTGTCTGACAGCCCAGGCTCGGCAGCCCCCTCTGCCATGTCCGTGCCATTGGGGACGTGTCCCTTGTCCCTTCCCCTCTCTTGCTCTCCCAGCAGACAGCATGCTCTCACCTTGAGGGGAGTGGAAATGTCAGCTGGAATGTGGGCTGGAAAAAAAAGAAAGCAAATCTTGAGGCTCGTCCAAACCTACTCCTGTTTATATTGGAGCCTGGGAGTGACATCAGAGCGAGGAGAGTATAAACACCAGCAGGACCCACTCAGGGCTTTAAAGCCTGCAAACATGAGGCTCCGGCTGGAGAAGCAGCTCCTCATCCTCTCCCTGCTCTGCATCCTCTCCAAGGTAAGGAGTCGGGCGTGGGATGTCCTCAGGATCACTCAGGGCAGCACCAGGATTCCCAGTATGGGACTGTAGGGAGAATGCAGTGCTGCTGTAGCCCTGAAAGCTGGCAGGCAGCTGTATGTCTGCAGAGCTCGGCCTGGGAGAGAATTCCAATGAAGCAGCATAGTCTTAACTCTCATGGACCAAATGCCTCTGTGCTGCAGCAATGTGCTCTGTTTGCTCACCTGCCCCTGCAGCCATCCTGCAGCTCCTGCAGGCTCCGTGCAGTGAGCACCAGCCCCAGGGCTACTCAGCTCTCCACCATTCCAGGACGCTCATGCAAACCATCAAATAGATTGGGATTGTTCCAGGGGTTTGATTTTTTTTGTCTCTTGGATTCTGCATGACACAGCTCCCTGTGCAGAGTTTTGAAAAATGTTGGGGTATGTCAGTTCCAAATTCTTGTAATTGGTGCTTGAATCCCAAGCCAGACTGCAAGCAGGGACATCAGAACAGCCTCGTGCCTGTTTGACTGCTTTCCTGGGCACTTAAGATCTCCAACAGGAGCCACATTGCCATCTAATGACAAGTTAATTGCAGGGAGCATGGGGAAACGGATTAATAGCCATCTAATAGATTGTTGGATGGGCAAATCCTTCTAAAACATCAGTCTGTAATAGAAACCTGAAAGATGAAAAATGCACTTGGCTCCTGGGTGAGTTATGACTGATGAGCAGCTCCTGGCCAGGAGACCTCAGTGAGCTCTGGAGAGCCACCAGCTGTCCTCTGCCCCCAGTCCAAACATGGCAAACACCACCAGTGCCCTGGTCTCTAATGGTCCCCCTGCCTTCTGCAACAGCAGCAGTGCTGCTCATTGAGAGGACCAGAACAAGGCAGAGACTGCCCAGCCCATTTTGGATAGATTTCACCTCTCACATCCTGGCAGGGTTGCACGCATACCCGCATTGTGCAGGGCAGCACAGGCAAACTGCAGATCCAAAACGTTTGGCTTCCAATCCAACATGCAGCAGCCCCAGCAGCCGCCCTTGTCAGATGTGCCAGGGTAATGGTGTGTGCAGAACAGCCACAGACACACTGCTGCCCACCTGGGGGAACTCCTGCAGGCACAGGGCAGGCACACTGCCTTGGGGTACGGGTTGGCAGGGGCTGCTGCAGGCAGGGTAGGGGAGGAGGCAGCCGCAGCACAGAGAACAGCAGTGAGCCTCATCAGGCTTCAGTTCTCCCCTGCAAATGTGTTGTCCCATTTCTTGGCACAAATGAGATGTGCTCACAGCGAGGGGCTGGGGAGGAGCAATGCCCTCACCATGTGTACGTAGGTCCTGGGAAGCTGCATCCCCAACTGTGCACCAACTGACATGGGGGCTGCAAACACCACCTGATGAGCCTCAGTGTGTGGATGCTCACTTCCCAGCCCTACCTCCTCCTGCACTCGCAGCAGTGGTGCATGTCAGCCCCCATCTTGCTGACAGGGTATTCCTGATTCTCCTGGTTTCCATGGGAGCCCATCGTGCTGTGCAGTCACTCCCTAAGAAGACGGCAGCTTTCCCAGCAGCACTGCCGTATCCCCATGGATGGGCAGAGCCAACATCTTTCTCCACCCAACCAAGGATGACTTCCAGAGGCCATCCCAGTGCAACCAAAGCCATCAGCTGTGTCAAACCCGCGATGCTTTGTACCCCCAGGTGTGCTGCCAGCTGTGCCGACGGCCGTGCTACTGCTCCCAGGTGCTGCCCCGCTGCCCACGTGGGTCCCCCCTGGTCCTGGATGGCTGTGGCTGCTGCAGGATCTGCGCTCGGCGCCTGGGAGAGCCCTGCGACTTCCTGCATGTCTGCGACCGCAGCCAGGGGCTCATCTGTGACTACAGCTCGGGGACAGGAGGCACCTGCAACTGTGAGCACCACAGCTGGATGTGGCTCTGAGAGCTGCTCTGCCGAGGAAGATGCACACAGATGGCTGCAGGGCTGAGTTGCTGCTCCTGCCAATTCTAATGCCAGTCGCTGGCCGGGTTTTTGGGGGTGGTTTGAGTGGGATGGGCATAGGGGCTAGAGGGGATAGAGGGGATAGAGAGCTGCAGGGAAATAACAGAGGGATATTTTCAAGTCTGAAAGCCCTGAGAGCTATGGACAGGGTTGGAGAGAGAGCAGTGGGTTTGTCACCACCTCATGATGTAGGAGGTAGGGAGGGGGAGGTTGGGCGACACATCACCTCATGCCTCCCTATGCCCTTGTGACCATCCAGTTCCCCCTCCTCCTGGCAGCCCCCAGTCACCACCAGCTATCCCCTCTGCCACCCCCACTCTCTGTCCCCTTGCCCCGGTGGCTCCCCACTGTCGTTGCAGTCGAAGACGACGAGGAGGGCTGTGAGGTGAATGGGCGGCTGTACCGTGACGGGGAGGTGTTCCAGCCCAGCTGCAAGCTGCAGTGCCGCTGCCTGGACGGGGGCTTCACCTGCGTCCCGCTCTGCCAGGAGGACGTCCGCCTGCCCACCCCAGACTGCCCCTACCCACGGCGTGTGGACATCCCAGGGAAGTGCTGCCCTGAGTGGGTCTGCGAGGCCGGAGAGCGGCAGAGCACTGGGGCAGGTAGGAGCTGGGACGAGGTGGTGAGCCCCAACAGGGGACCCCTCACTGCCCCTCTTTCCGTGTCACAGGGCAGGTAAGGCGGTACTGGGCTCCAATCCCACTTCCCCTCCTCTGTTTCCATCCAGCCCCCGCAGTGCCGTACCTCTGCCAGCCGTGGGGCACGGAATGGAGCGTCTGCTCGGCCACCTGCGGCGTGGGCTTCTCCACCCGCATCTCCAACCAGAACCGCTACTGCCGCCTGGAGACACAGCGGCGGCTCTGCGTGCTCAGGCCCTGCCCGGCTCTGCCGGCGGCACCCCCTGTGGTAAGCGATGGTGATGCCGACACCTCCAGGCAGCAGCTTGGAGAGGGAATGGGACATCCCAGCCAACAGCCCGTGCACGCCCCGTCAGCCCCCCAGCCGTGAGTCCTCCAGCATCCACTGTTCCCACATCGCTCCACTTTGCTTTTCCAGAGGGGATGAGGAGGGTGTTTGCAGCTGCGCCCACCCTGGTTGTGTCCCGCAGCCAATGTTCCGGGACTGAGGCTGGCACACATCCGTGACACGGTGGTTTTGGAGGAGATGGAAGACACGTCCCTCGGGAATCTGGGGGAGAACCGATGGACTTCAGCTGCAGAAGAGGGTGGAAATAGAGAACAAGATCCCTACAACACGCCTGTATACTCTACTGCCCCGGGTTGGGTTGCTGGGCAGCAGCACCCTGTTGTATGAGATGGGGAAATCCTGCCAAGCACAAACCCACCTGAGAAAAAGGGACGTGGTCCTTTCCCGGATCGGAGAGGCTTTTGGAAAGGGCTGAGTGACGCTGCTGTGCCCAGCACCGCACACACAGCTCTGCTCTGCAGAATTAGACCACTATTGGGATGCCCCTTGCCCCCCACGCTGGGGATGGGGCTCGCTGCCCCACCACACCCGGACACCGGCAGAGGTGTTTTCCTGGCGGCAGCTCCCATTTACCTTCCTCACATCCCTCCAGGACAAACAGCTCCCTGCTCCGCCTGGCCGCCTGCTCTTCAAAGCCCGGCGGTTTGGCAGGGCTCTGGCAGGCGAGCAGCTCAGACGGAGGAGGCACCAGACATACTGCCCCTCATCCAAGCGCATACCCCAAAAACTAAGGCCAGCAGAAAGGCAGGAGACGGGAAAACAAACAGCAGCGATGAGCCCAACGGGCTGGGGCTGCTCCAGCGTGCGGAGCTGCACAGGAGAGCCGAGCGGCAGTGAACCCTTAAGGGCCGCTCAGAAACGAAACCCAAATGCCCTCTAACGGCCTCGCAGCGATGTGCAGAGCAGGGCGAGAAGGGCGGCGAGCAGAGCAGGCGAGACCGCGCATCTTGGCTTTGCACCCCTGCAATCAAAGCATTGTGAACGTGATTGCAGCACGGCCAGCAGCAGAGCCCAGCAGCTCCTGCAAGTGCCGGAAATAAATCAGTGTTGAAGGGTGTTGTCACCTCTTCGGGGGAAAAAATAAAGGAGAAAAAAGAAAAAAAGAAAAAAAGAAAAAAGAGCCTTGCTGCTCATGCACGCTGTTTACAACGAGAATTATTTACTGACATCAACCATTCACTTAGTGGGATGGAGGGGATGCAGGAGCCCCCAGCAGGCAGCACGCAGCACGAGGGACTCGACACCATTGGTTTTCTGCCTCTGCAGTGGCTGTGCCAAAAACAGCAGTGGTGTGAAGCTCACAGAGACTTTAAAACCCACAATGTTCCTCTGCTGACATGGGTAAGGCACAACCACTGTACCAAACATCCTGGGTTCAAGGCAGTTCGGTTTTCTGTGTGCTGAGATGCGGCCCCCTGTGCTGGCTCAGCCCATCCCAGCCACCCCACGCTGCTGGTGAAATCCTAAAGGTCACTTTTCCAGCAGCAACCTGCAATCTGTATCTCAGACACAAATGACTCAATGCACCTCTTGGGCTTTTTTTGTTGTTTTTTTTTTTTTTTTGTGAGGGAGAGGGAGGGAAAGGGGGAAAGCTGTGATTCACTCAGCAGAAAACACCTAAATAATGAATTAACGACTCCAAACAAATCAGAATTACTTTTCCCTAAAGAACAGAGGGAAACTGACCCTCACGATTCAGGTGCTCCCTTTAAGCTGTGCTACCTGGGCAATAAGTGCTTCCTGCAGCCCCAGCACCTGGCTCTGTGGGTGCTGGGAGGTGTCAGATAAGCGCTGCACACCCACAGACGGTTACAGGAAGCCCTGTAGCTCAGAGCCACATCCGCACCCACAGCGGCACAAGAGTGGCAGAGCACGGTTTGTTTCTCGGCAAGCACGTGTAACAGTCGACATCTGAAACAAAACACACTTATTTTGCTGCTGTTGAACAGAATCTCTATTGCTTTTGGAGCCAACTCGTCCGCAATAAGCAGGCACTCCTGTGGCTCGGGCTCCTCTACGGCAGCACAGGAGGGCAGGGCCGTACCCCTGCCATGGAAAACCGCATTCCTTCTGCCCGTTGGTCTGTTTGCTCTGGTGCCCGGAGATAACGCTATTTCTGGCGTTGTTGGCGCTGCAGCAGCTGCTCAGCAGTGAAGGTGGGTGATGGAATTCTTCGGGTTTGGTTTTAACTCTCGCATAAGCTCCGCCAGCTCCGCGCGCCCGCCGCGTCACACCCCAGCGCCTGCGGGCAGGAGGGGGAAGGCACAGCGCCTCTTGCGTTCCCTCCTCTTAAAAGCGCTCAAGGGAGAGGAGAAGAGATTTTTCTCTATTTGTGGAAGGGATATCGAGCGGGCAGCAGCGGGATGTTGTTGCTGCGCGCTACCCTGGAGATGCACCGGAGCCAGGCAGCGTCGCACGTCCGCGGTGCTGGCACCGCCCCTGGCACGCGATGCGCTGGACCGGGGCCACCCGCACTTTGCAGGCGGATCTCCGCTCTGCCCTCGCTCCTAACGCCGGCCGTCTGTGGGCCGTGCGGTCCGAGCACGGAGCTGCAGGTCGGAGTTGGATGCGGGGTGCAAGAGTGGCGTTCCCTGGGGGCGCGACGCAGCGAGCAGAGCGGCAGCGATCTGTGAGCTCTCCGCCCCCCCGCGGAGCAGAGCCGTCCCAGGCATGCCTTCCTCCCGCCCCTCCCAGCACCACCAGAAATAGCTCGAGCCTTGGTGCCCGGCTCGCAGTACCTCCAGCGGGCTGGCAGCTCCTCTAGGAGCCCCACGCTCCGTGTCCCTGGCGCTGGGTCCTGACCCCACGAGCACCTCCCCGAGCGCCGCGCCGCCTGCTCATCTCCTCCAGCGCCCGATGGCCAACAGCACTCCGCTCTGGGACAACAGCAGCCGGGCTCTGTGCCCCGTGGATGCCGCCTTTGCGCAGCGCTTCCTGCCCGGCGTGTACCTGGTGGTGACCCCGCTGGGGCTGCTGGGGAACGTGCTGGGGCTGTGCTATCTGCACTCCGGCCCCCGCAGCCCGCTCAGCCGGCTGGTGGGCCACCTGGGCCTGGCCGACCTGCTGTACATCTGCACGCTGCCCTTCCTCATCAGCTACTACCTGCGCGGCCGCACCTGGGCCTTCGGGAGGGGCTGGTGCCGCCTCACCCGCGGGCTCTTCCACCTCAACCTCTACGCCAGCATCGGTTTCCTCACCTGCATCAGCGTGCACCGCTACCTGGGCATCGTGCACCCACTGCGGGCGCGGGGCCGCTGCCAGGCTGCCGTGTCTCCAGGCCGGCTCAGTGCGGCCGTGTGGCTGTGGGTCATGGTGCAGGTGGGCCCTGACTTCGCCTTCAGCAAGATGGACCCCATGGGGATGCGGTGCCACGACACGACGGGGGATGAAAGCCTGGGTGCCTACGTGCCCTACACTGCCGCCATCACCGTGACGGGGTTCGTCATCCCCTTCCTCATCATCGTCGGGTGCTACTGCCACGTGGTGGTGGTGCTCTGCAGGAGTGACACGGTGGAGCCCGGCCTCAGGAGGAGCAGCATCAGGCTGGTGGTGCTCGTCATGGTCCTCTTCTCCGTCTGCTTCCTGCCCTACCACATCTTCAGGAACCTCAACTTGCTGTCCCGAGCCTGGCAGCGGCAGGGGTCCTGCACACAGGCCATGAAGAACATCTACATCTCCTACCAGGTGACCAGGGGCCTGGCCAGCTTCAATAGCGCACTCAACCCTTTGCTCTACATCATGACCAGCAAAGACTGCATGTCACGCATGAGGAATATCCACCAAAGGGCCAAGGAGACCCTGGGATCCATCTTCACATGGGAATCCTCTAAGCGAGCCCACAAGATGAGGAGCAGCATCGTCTTTGAGGAGCAGGAGGCTTCTGAGCAGCTCTGATCAGTGCAGCACCTCCCCGACACCTGTGTACATCAGCTTCAGCTTTCCCCCACCTGAAGCACGCTTTGTGGTGAGATGAGACTGCAGTCCTCGGCTCCAGCATGGTGCCTGGGACAGAGGGGATTGAGGGCAGCAGGGAGTAGGCTGGGCTCGGGCTTTAGAACAGAGTAACCAGCCCAAAGTGAGGCAGAGAGCTGCTGCATTGCAGGATGGAGGGAGAGGGGGAGAGGTGGAGAGGGGGAGTTCTGCAGGGGGAAGTGCTGTAGAAATGGAAACATTCACTAACATACCTTGATTGAAACATGACTAAACTGTGCCAGCAGCGGTGGTGGTTGTTTCTGGAAGCAGATCTGCTTTGGGATCTGGCTTATCTTCTGCAGCCCGCCTCCTTCACAGCAGAAAAATGTACTTTACAATGATTCACTCTCTTGCGGAAGAGTGTATAACAAGCAAACGGGCATATTAAAGTTTCTCAGGGCTTTTTTTTTTATTACTTTGCAATGCAAAAGACCGCAGTGGCCTGAACCACTTGGTCAGCAGGCAATACTCCACAGAGCTCTGAGACACTTGGGTGGGGGCTGCAGCTCTCCGGCATTCGGCCTCACAATGGTATGAACATGAGCTATTGTCTCTTGTAAATCTGATGTGCAAATGTCACCTGCAGAGAGGCAGCACTGGCTGAAGTTGTGCAGAGGTACAGTGAGCTGCCAGGGCAGGACGTGCATCAACTTCCTTGGATGTGGGGGCATTTTTGTTGCAGGGGAACAGCAGCTCCTGAGCAGCACTCTGCTTTTTGCTTTCGGTTCTCCCCAGCACGAGCAGCTGCAACGCATGACTGCAGCAGTGAAACTTGAAGCAGCAGATTTCAGAAGGGGCACATGAGTTAGAACTGCCCCCTACCTGGAGAGCACAGCCCCACGCAGGACTGAAATCAGAGCAAAGCCTGAACCAGTACCAGCCAGCTGCTGCTTACATGGCCCCACCTCACTGCTCCACAGAGGACACAGTGGCGATCACATGGGGCTAATGCATCTGAGGTGCAAATAAACACTTGACATGTTCACTTGTGCCCCTCTGGCTTCTTCTAAAGCTTAGCGGCAGCACAGAGCCAGCTGGCCTGGGGGATGGAGCTGGGGCACACACCAGCTCTGCTCCCCCCCATGCGCCCAGCTCTCATCCGCTGCCCCCCCCATCATTAAGGGTGAATTAAAGAGCATCCCACAAACCAGCCCTGAGCCCAGGATCTGTAGCATCTCGTGGTTCCATATCCCACGTCAGTCAATCCAGCAGAAGCCATTGGGATCTGTACTCTGTAACAATGGCTCCAGGGCTTGATGGCATCTTATGCTTCACAGCCCTCCTGATCCTCAGGCAGCACCACTCTCCATCCAAGCTGAAAAGAAGAAAGAAGAAAAAGCTCCCCCCCCAACGCAGCCAAGTTCCCTTCCTTAATTAGCTGCGTGTGTAATTAAGGACAACCACTGGCACATGAGCCTGCCTGGCTCTCACAGCTGTGTAATGGAGCAGCAAAGCAGCCCCCTCCTGCTGCTTTTGCTCCAGGCTCCTCCCTGTGCAAAGAGCAGCTGCTGCCCCACAGGTGACAAATGTGACAGACAGAGATGTACAGATGTACGACCATTTCACTTCCTTCTAGAATGCAAAACTGTTCTGCTTGGCATCCAAAATGCTACACAAGAACATACTGCTGTCAACAGCAGCTAAACCAGAGGCCCCCAGCAGAGCAAGGACTGCAGGGCAGGGGGCTTTGGGAGCATCTCCTGTGGTGTGGTGGGAGCTGCAAGAAGGGCTGAGTCCTGCAGGTCACTAATGAAAGGTCACAGCATCCCCGAATGCAGCATTTATTTCTGCAGCAGAGCAGTTTCACTGTCCCAGTACATCTGGGTATAGGGAGAGCAGACCTGACAGCTCATCTGATTTACCAAGGACATGGGCTGAGCTGGGGAAGCAAAGGTAATGCAGTTAACTCTGGGCGATCCGGACAAAAATGGTCAATATGTGTGGGATCGGGTGCTGCCAGTGAATGTTTCTTTAAAATGAAATTCAGAGTCTTTGTGCAGAGTGCTTTGGCATCTGGGAGACCAACAGTTTATTAAGGAGAGTACCCGTATAAATAGAACAACATTCAGCGTGGCTGCATGAGGCTGTTGGTCTCATATTATTCCTCTGTGTGTGTGGTTATAAATAGGGACCTCCATGGGGCAGGAGGTGCCCGTGGTAACCCAGAGCTTCACCTGCACAGCTCTGTACCTCAGCCCCTGCCCAGAGACACTCAAACGGAGCATATTGAAGCGAGCCTCCTTGTCCCACTGCAGCCCCAGGCTGACCTTCCTGCTCCAAGCAGGCGCTTTGCCCAGCTCCCCAAAGCCCAGCGTTCATTTCATTCCCATCACTGACTCAGAAATCCGCAGAGCAGCTGTGGCCACGGTGCTGCTGTGTGCTCTGCCCCGGGGACGTGGCTCAGCCACTGCACGTTGGCCGAGAGCCACGGGGGCATCTCTGTGTGCCCCTATGGGAGCAGCCATCTCTGTGTGCCCCTGTGGGAGCAGCCATCTCTGTGTGCCCTTATGGGAGCAGCCATCTCTGTGTGCCCTTATGGGAGCAGCCATCCCATCGTCCCCATTCATCACCCTGAGAGAAGCAGCTGGGGAACTTCAGTGCACAAACGATTTGGTAAAAAGTCGCGACTTCGAGGTGGAGAACAAAACGTGTCTGCAGTGCAGTGCTCTCACTGCACCACAAAGCAAATAGTTTCGGTTTGGTTTATTTGTTCCCCACTGAGAAATCACTCCTGGTCCTGCAGCCCCCGGCTCCACAACCCAACCGCAGCACTGGGTGGGAGCAATGAGAGCAGCAGGACGGCAGCATTCCCCTTCCCAGCCCCACCGCAGGATGAGGGCGAAGCTGTCATCCAGGCATCCTCAGGAAAATCCTTGCATATTTGCAGTGCATTCCCAGAACATCTGCCCCTCCCCTGTCTGCAGCAGAGAACTCATTTATAGCACTGCCCACCGTGGGAGCGGAGCAGGTCCTGCTCTGCACTCAGCCAAGCACTGCTTTGTGTGCTGATCTCAGTGCCACCACCCTCAGCCCTGACTGTGCTGGAATGCCCACATCCCAACTGGTTGTCTGCTCTGCTTCTCAGCAAACAATCCCAGCAGTGATTAAGTAGGGACATTATTGTTTTAGCTTGTTTTTGTGATTAAAGCCAAGGTGCTCCAGACAAATAAATGCACAGATGAAAGCGGCCGAGATCAAAGCAGCACCTCTCCCAGCTGGGTGCGGGCCAGGCGCTTTATGGCAGGTGCTGTGTGCCTGGCTGGCACTCAACTGACAGCTTTCCAAGCACATAAAAACTTAATAGGCTGAAAATAGAGTTTGTGGTCACAGACTGACAGCAGCAGCGCTGGCAGCTTGGGTCCGCTCCACGCATGAGCTCCAGGGGAGCAGGGCTGGGGAACTCAGGCAGGGCATCAGGCAGGATCCACAGTGGAATGCAGGTGCCTGGGCTCCCAGATTGCAGGGGTAGGAGGGAGGCAGCAGAATGCCCCAGAGCCCAGGGAAAGCCACGCAGCCGACTCTGTTTGCAGCCCCCAGGATGCGAACACCCCAAGCACCAGAGCTCCTGCTTAATGCACAGAGCTCTGCTGTCCCTCTGCCTCCCCGTGCAATAAAAAGAAGACATGTCATCTCATAATGCAATTTCTTGCTGGAAATCAATGCTCAAGTGCGTTATGTTGACTTCTCCCATCCTGCAGCTCCCATGTGCCCTTGTTCAAGTGCAATGAGAGCAGCAAGAAGACAAAGGCCAAGTTGCGCAGTGTGGGGCTTCTCTCTGGGCAGGAGGGATGCGTGTGCGGTGTGACAGCTCTGGTGCACTTGCTGTGTGGGGGTAAGGAAATGTATGAGCGTGGGGCCGCTGCGCAGCATTGCCTTCATTCTAATGCCTGTGACAGCACGCAAACACACTGCTGTGTGCACTGCCTGTGCAGCCCTGCGTTGGTTAGCACTGTGTCACCAGGCGGGTTTGGTACAGAACTGCTCCTGCCCCTGCTGTGTATGGGTGGATCTTGTCCCACAGGGCCTGAGATCAGAGTAAAGCCCCAGAGCTGCCACTGCTGTCCTGCAGCTGCACACGATGGGAGCTGTGCAGTTTGCACCTGTCTGCAGAGCAAAAGCGTCGGTGCGTCTGGACCTGCGCGGGGTAATGGGCTGCAGCACCTACCGGCTGTCCCGGGGAGGAGCTGGGAGCTCACACCGGACCCGCAGGGCCCCAGCAGCTCTCCCGGCAGCTCTCCCGGCAGCGTCGCTGCTCCCAGCCGAGATGGGCAGAGTTTATTTTTGAAGGAGATGTTATCTCCCGCAACGCACAACTCGGGAGAAGCATCTTTCTATTTTTAAAAAGCGAAACATAAGGCTTACATAAACTACTGGGGAAGCCGAGCCGAGCCTAGCCGCCAGGCCCGCGCTTCGAGGGCTCCATCTCCTAACGGCCGATTCTGCTCTCCCCGAGGCGGCGCGGGGCGCCCGTCGCGTCCATCCGTCCCCCGCAGCGCTGCCGTCGTCGGGCGGCGGAGCGAGAGGAACGAACAGGAACGCCCCGGCTGGGAAGCGAGGGAAGGAGCGGGGCAGGGCGGAGCGGAGCGGGCACAGCCGTGACCCCGCAGCGCGGTGCGGGCGGAGGAAGGCGGGGAGCGGGCGGGGAGCGGGCGGCGCAGGGGGGGCGCGAGGGGCGGCGCGCGGGAGCTGCGCGGGGCCCGCGGGGGGCGGCGGGGCCATGCGGAGCCCGGGCTGAGGGGCCGCGCCTCGCCATGAAGCGGCAGAACCTGCGCACGGCAGCGCTCATCCTCTGCATCTTCTCCTACCTGCTGGTGGGCGCCGCCGTCTTCGATGCTCTGGAGTCGGAGGCGGAGAGCGGCCGCAAGCGGCTGCTGGAGCAGAAGCGCGGGGAGCTGCGCAGGAAGTACCGCTTCTCCGCCGACGATTACCGGGAGCTGGAGCGGCTGGTGCTGCAGGCCGAGCCGCACCGCGCCGGGCGCCAGTGGAAGTTCGCCGGCTCCTTCTACTTCGCCATCACCGTCATCACCACCATCGGTGAGTGCTGGAACCCGGCGCTCCTCCGTCCCCGCACCGCAGCGCGGCTCCCTCGGCCGAGCCGGGACGGCTCCGCGGCCCCGAGCTGCCCCGCCGAGCGCGGTGCCGGGGCCCCGCGGTGGGAGAGGTGAGCCGCTGGCACGGCTGCCACGCTCTTGGCGTCCCGGCGACGCGGGGCCGGAGCTGCAGAAGTCGGCGGGGTGCGGGGCGGGGAGCGGCGCTCCTCATTGCTGCTGCTGTAGCCGCGGAGCTGCGCGGGAGGCTCCGGCCCCTTCGCGGGCTCCAAACTCCGCGTTCGGCCGTCCCGGCCGCCGAATCTCGCTCTGCGCGCACGGGTGCCCGCAGGGAAAGTGGGGCGAGTCAGGTCGGGGGGTGGTGGCACCGCGTCCAGCCCCCAGGTGTACGCGCGCACCGGAGCCCAGCCTTGGTCTGCCTGCTGTTTCACAATAGAGTAACGCTAAATTGATCGGGGAATGCTTTAATTCTGAGATTAGCCACACAGGTGATCAGCATCATTTAATTAATCCGCTTTGGTGAATCCATGCACCCCGAGCATCCCAGGAGGGCGGGCGGCCGTGGGGTCCCGTGCTCGCATCGCTCCCCGCGCTGGGATCCGGACCAGCGGCAGCGCTTCGGCGGCGGAGCCCTGAGGCCAATTCCTGCCCTTCCGCGGCCGAGGCTGCTCAGCCTCTCGGGGCAGCTCGGCACGGGCAGCACACGCCTGGTGGCTGCATTCATTGTGTCTGGCACGGGCACACGAGGAGATGTGCGACCAGGAGATGAGGCGGCTGAGCATCGGCCCCGGCAGGATGAATGGCTGCAGTGAAAACCCCCATCATCCCGTGACAGCTTATAGCTTCATTTACATTATTTCTCTGTCGGCTGTGACAAACAATTGCCATGCTTATCACACACCCCCTGCCATAAATAATCCCAGCCCAGGTGCTGTGCTTCTCAAACGCCAGCCCTCCTTATGTCACACTGTGCTATGAATCTCAGCTTTAACGTTAATGTAGCTGTGTAGCTTTCTAATGCAGCTTTGTCATTTTGAAAGCATCAGTCAAATGCTCTTTCAGGAACCTCTCAGGCTACAACAGCTCTTCTGGATCATTTTATTTATGTCCTCATTGCTCTCATTGTGCTTAGGACCTGATAATTGCACTCAGTTATTGGGCTTGGATCTGATTTTTAATTTTTTTTATTTCCTTTTTTTTTTTTTTTTCCATTGCAGTCTATTTTCTGCTCTGTATTCCATGAGATGTGCCACGCAGGAATTAAGTTTACTGGGTTTGCTTGCACGGGTTTATAAAGAGACGCAGCAATTAGGGATGGGTTGTTCCCCCCTTGCCTTGGCAGCTCAGAGCACAGCAGGGCTGGGATAAGGCCCTCACATGGGCACCTCCAGCCCCTCCCCAGCCTCTCCCCTGCCCCAGCAGGTTGACACAGAAACCCAAAGGAAAGGTTGGGCGCCTCCTCTGCCCCCACGCAGCAGCGCTGCATGACTCCTCGCAGCCTGACACTTACTCACCCCGTTAGGTCAGAGGCCGCTGGTTTCAGTTCAGTTTATGTAACTGAGGTGGGTGCAGGATCAGCCAGGTCCAAAGGACGGTGATGAGTACCTCATTATGCCTCGTGGTATAATTGTGTGTGTTCTTGAGTCATAGTGCTGAGACTTGGAGAGAGGTGGGGAAATTAAATCTCTAAAAGGCAGTTGAGGAGAGTGGGAGGTTCTGCTCCACAGCTTCCATATGTGGCTGCACCTGGGACCCCCTGTGCTCAGCTCTGGTGGGGCCGCACCTCGAGTGCTGTGCTCAGCTGTGGGCCCTCACTGCCACGCAGACATCGGGGCCTGGAGCGCGTCCAGAGAGGGGCAACGGGGCTGTGAGGGGTCTGAGCACAGTGGGGACTTGTGGGGAGCAGCTGAGGGAACTGGGATGGTTCAGTCTGGAGAAAAGGAGGCTCAGGGGAGACCTTATTGCTGTCTGCAGCTCCCTGAAGGAGGTTGTGTGAGGTGGGGGTCGGCCTCTGCTCCCAGGTAACAGCAACAGAAGGAGAGGTGATGGCTTTAAGTTGTGCCAGGGAAGGCTGACGTTGGAAATTAAGAAGAACTTATTCTCAGAAGGAGTGTTGATGCAGTGGCACAGACTGCTCAGAGAGGTGGTGGAGTCACCATCCCTGGAGGTATTCAAGAAATGTGGAGATGTGGCACTGATGGACACTGATGTGGTCAGTGGGCAGTACTGGGTGGTAGGAGGATGACTGGACTTGGTGGTCTTAGAGCTCTTATCCAACCTTAACGATCCTATGATTCTCCCCCTCCCCCACGCAGGCTATGGGCACGCTGCCCCAGGCACAGATGCTGGCAAGGTGTTCTGCATGTTCTACGCCATCCTGGGCATCCCCCTGACGCTGGTCATGTTCCAGAGCCTGGGTGAGCGCATGAACACCGTCGTGCGGCTCCTGCTCAAGAAGATCAAGAAGTGTCTGGGCATGAGAACAACCAACGTCTCCATGGAGAACATGGTCTTGGTGGGCTTTCTGTCCTGCATGGGGACCCTGTGCATCGGCGCTGCGGCCTTCTCTTATTTTGAGGGCTGGACTTTCTTCCATGCCTACTACTACTGCTTCATCACCTTGACCACCATCGGCTTCGGAGACTTTGTGGCCCTGCAGAAGAACGAGGCGCTACAGAAGAAGCCACCCTACGTGGCGTTCAGCTTCATGTACATCCTGGTGGGGCTGACGGTCATCGGCGCCTTCCTCAACCTGGTGGTGCTGCGCTTCCTCACCATGAACTCGGAAGACGAGCGGCGCGACGCCGAGGAGAGGGCTTCACTCAGGAGGGCCCGCAACGCCATCCACCTCACAGCCAAGGAGGACGGGCGCAGTAACAAGGCCATCTTTCTGCCGGCGGAGGACAGGACCAGCCAGATGAACCTGATCCCGCTGGTGCAGGAGGATGCGGAGCGGCAGCGGCGGCAGTCGGCCAACGGGGAGGGCAAAGTGCCGGCCTTCTGCACCTGCCTGTGCTACCGGGCCCCGCTGTGCGGCAGCCCCGCGCCCTCCCACCCCGAGACCTTGAGCTGCCACACCAACCCCGTCTACTACAACTCCATTTCCTACAAAATCGACGAGGTGTCGCTGAGCACACGAGGACAGACTGGCTCGTCCCCGGCCAGCACGTTGTCATCGGGCAGCGCTCGGTGCCCGCGGCACCCACAGCCACGCAGGAAATCCATCTAGCAGCCTCGCTGTGCTGATGAACAGTTAACAGAGGAATCGGGCCCCTCTGACCTCTCATTTCTTCTGTTCCTCTCTCCCAGCTGGCAACCAGCCCTACACGGGGGACCTTGGGCCTGGAGATGGCATCGCTCCTCCAGCAGGGTGCCAGCCTCAATTACGCACTGTTTGGTTTTCCTTCCTCCCAAGCAGGCTCAAGCATTTGAGTCTGGAAGAGGCCCCATCAGCAGGATGTAGGTTTGCTTTCCCACCTGCCTGCTCTCAAAATGAAGGCGTTGCTGCCTTGGTCATTGAGATGCGGTCACTGCCTCTTGCCACACAGGCTGTCACATATGCCAAGAGCACCACAATGGCCAAACACACGTTAGCAAGTCCCGCAGGGCTGAAGACATCCCACAGGCTGTTCCCTGGGCACAGATGAGGCAGTGCCATGCAAGGACAGGACCCGAGGTGGGCTGCAGTTCTCTGGCTGATGGCAGTATAGCTGGGGAAGGGATTTAGAAGCCCTGGAGCTGAGCTCCATGCAGCCACTTGCCAAGAGGTCCCCACACAGACTGCTTGGTGGGAAGGACTGCAGCCAAACCTGTGAGCCCAGGCTGTGCTGAGGGCTCAGCCCCAGAAAGCTCCTCCTTGAACCATGCAGCCACCTGCACAGGGTCAGGTTCATATCAGGACATTAGCAAAGAGCCCCA